GCATGTGGAGTGTGTGTGTGTGTGTGTGTGTGTGTGTGTGTCAGTCTGTGTCTGTATTTAATAATGACGTTGTTCAATTGAAGGTGATGGTAATTAATCTTACGAACCATCCGTCTGATGGTGTGAATTAGTACTGTAGCATATGCTCTAATACTTTTACAAGCCATTATCTAGCAATATCATTGTCATTCCAAGACTATGAATATTGTAAGCAAAATGGCATTTCTTTCGTTGAGTGACTCTTTGCGCCCCCCCCCCCAAATCCTTGTTTCTGACTTGTGTCGATTACGTCACGTTTAGTCTGGTGTCTTTAAAAAAAAATATTCAATTTTTTTACAAAAATGTGTATGGTGTATTATAAATTTGTATCTCATTTATTTATTTATTCGTTTATTTTTTATAAATGTATAATAAATATAAATATAACGGTGACGTTAGGTTAGGTTAGGTTAGGTTAGGTTAGGTGCCTTCAAGAGCCGGATCGGACAGCTGTGATCGGACTATACATAATGTAGGAATTGTGTTGTGATACAGTTGTTTCTTTGTCTCCGTCTCCCTCTCTGATTTTTTCCGTGGTTGACCTTTGTAATTACTACATTGAATCGGGGATGCTTGAGGACATTCTTGCTGCTTATCCCAAATTTGCTAGCCCACACTGATTTGTCTTCAATTAGAATAGGATGTCCAATGTATGTGAACCACTTACCTATATATACTGCTAATAAATATGGTGTATTTCTTTCTTTCTTTATGTACGAACCTCTGTCCTGCATTGCAGTGAACAGTGACATTACCCACATGAATCTGACCTCTATATATATATATATATATATATATATATATATATATATATATATATATATATATATATATATATATATATATATATATATATATATATATATATATGTTAATGAATATGTTGTATTTCTTTGTGTATGAACCTCTGTCCTGCGTGGCAGTGAGAAGTGAGACCTCCCTCGGTGTCAGAACCTCACTGAATTACTCAGAATAGGCAAACTGTACTACAAGCTCTGTCAATAAATTTGTTAAACTAAAAACTAACGTGGTAGATATTGTAATTATTTCACATGCAATATATTTGTCATATATGATACTGTACTCCATCATAATTATAAGTATAATGCTAGGATTTGTTTGACTTAAATCATCTTGCATACATACTGCACAAGTGGGGATATTAGAAGAAGATTATTTTCTTTACATTTATTATACAATTTGACAGATATTCAGATGCATTCAGTATGTGACTTTGATTACATAGGAAAATTATTTCTGACACATTAATATTTAGTCCCGCCACCTTCATTCTCGATTACTTGCTGCAGCCTGTTGGGAACGGAGGCGACATGATTGTGTATCAGTTGCCGTGTCCGCCTCAGGACCTCCCACTCACGGTGTGTATGCTCCTGTAGCTGCACCCTGGTTCTCTCTTCAGCTGGCTCCCACATGTTCACACTATTTCCCCAATCGTTCTCTATAGGGTTCATGTCACAACCTTTACTTGGCCAGTCTAAAACTTGCACATTTCTTTGTTCTGCAAACCACCGCGTTACAATCCGTGCGGTATGGATAGGACACCTATCGTGCATGAAAATGATGTTTTCGGGAAACGGAAAAGCATATGCACGCACCGAGGGAAGCATAACTTCTTCAAGTATTTCTAAATACTGCTCAGCTGTGAATCTTCCTTCTATGTCAGTCAGCTCTCCAACTCCGTGCAAATATATCCATCCCCAAACATTGCAAGTCACATGGCCACTCGCTGCTTCCTCATAAATATGCTGTCTAGCATATCGGGTGTTGTTCCTCCTCCAGCAATGCAACCTTCCGTGAGAGGTAGATGAGAAAGTTTTTTCGTCAGTGTATATTATTCTTCCCCAGAAATCTAAGCCTTCTTCAGCATACCGTCGAGCAAACTGCAACCTGCCCTCGCGATGTCGCTTATTTAACTTCTCCTTGGTGGCGGGAGTTCTATAGTGAATGCCTCCTTCGTGAAGTCTTCGCCTGATTGTTAAAGGGGAAATATTTAATTGTAGATCCTCTCTTATTGAAAATGACGTCTTGAAGGGGTTGGCCTCAGCGAAATTCCGGATGGCTTCAACTTGTGCAGGTGTTGTTCTGCGCGGCATTCCCGTCCTGTGGTGGTCCTTTAAACTTTCCTCCTCTTCCCATCGCTTAATCCAATATATAATATACAGTTGACGGAGAAAAAACCCAATTCTCGTGCAATTTCAGTGGGTGAAAACCCAGCCTCTTTCATGCCGATTATTCTTCCACGTTCAGTGATTTTCTGCGTGTGGTATTCCATGTTGGCAGGGTCCTTCAACAATTGAGGGAGTGGAAGGGTAGTCAGCACTGACAACACCTTTGTCTCCCCCACCTACCCGCCAATAACGTCAGCGTTATATTTATATTTATTATGCATTTATAAAAAATAAACGAATACATATATAAATAAATAATATACAAATTTATAATACACCATACACATTTTTGGAAAAATTTTAATATATTTTTTTAAAGACATCAGACTAAACGTGACGAAATCGACACAATTCAGAAACAAGGATTTAGGAGGGGGGGGGCGCAAAGAGTCACTCAATGAAAGACATGCCATTTACTGCTTACAATATTCATAGTCTTGGAATGACAATGATATTGCTAGATAATGGCTTGTAAAAGTATTAGGCATATGCTACAGTACTAGTTCACACCAACAGACGGATGGTTCGTAAGATTAATTACCATCACCTTTAATTGAACAACGTCATTATTAAATACAGACACCGACTGACACACACACATACACACACACTCCACATGCGCACACACACTCCACATGCGCACACACACTCCACATGCGCACACTCACACACAGGGAAGTAAAACAGCAGTTTGTGTTGCAAGAAATCAGCGTCTTTAGAAAGAAGTTTTGTTTAGCATCGGTTAAATTAAACGCTTGAAGACAATATTAGTATAAATTAATGATAAACAGGCAACCTCATAAGCAGCCTGCACACAGCTGTGCCCGATGCATGATGTTCTTTAACATACTTACCGATTTTTACTTATGTTTATTTATCTAAATATAAATTCATATAGGTTGGCTCATTGCTCTATGCATTTTAAAATCAAATTAACATATATACTAGCAGAAAGGCATAATATAATGCGAAACAACAAAGCCCAACCATTAATTAAGCAACGGGGAACTAAGTAACCAATCACCGATCACGTTTACATCTTGAACGTGACTGTACCTTCTTAACCCCTGATAATGCACCAATCAAAAGTTTGGGACTCTGACCATATTGTAATTGTTTTTCGTTTCCCAATTTAGGGTGAACCTGATTTATCTGTGATCACTGTTCCCTAGTTCTTCCCCTATTGTGATATCTCTAAAAATATTTTCTTTATTTGTTAATACTAGGTCTAATATATTGTTACCTCTAGTAGGTTCTGTAATTAGTTGTTTCAAAAAAATTTCCTGTACTGCATCTAGGAAGTCTTCAGATTCATTATCACCTACAATGTTGTCCCAGTCAATATTTTTGAAGTTGAAATCCTCCATAATGCACAGGTTGTTGTATTTTGCTGGCCTATTCATTTCCTGCCATATGGGCTGAGCTGCTTCTTTCCCAAGACTTGGGGGTCTGTAAATCACTCCCATAATTAGTTTTTCTCTTCCTTCCGCAATTTCTACCCATACAGACTCGGTTCCAATTTCACCTTTTATTGAATTATTAATACAACATTTTAATGTATCCCTGACGAAGAGTGCGACTCCTCCCCCCTTCCTATCTTCCCTGTCCTTGTGAAAAAGTTTGTACCCTTCTATGTAGTACTCTGATAAAAAGTTCTTGCTCTCCAGATTCATCCAAGTTTCGGTGATTGCTATGACATCTACATTCTCGGTACTTACAACCGCTCTCAGCAAGTCTATTTTATTTCTAACGCTCCTACTGTTTGTATAGTATACATTTAAACCCATTTAAGCCTACCCTTCCCTGGTCCTGTTTCACCCCTTGTCCTGAGTAACCAATTTTACTTTCCAGGACCTGCTTGTTTTTTGACTCCCACTTACCCCGACCTCTCTCTACTGGCTAAACCCCCCCTTTGGAGTGACAATTTCATGCTCCAAGGATGCAGACAACGTCTTTACCCCCGCGCCAGACAATTGTACTCCGTCACGACTGTACAGGTAGTCGTTGCCATAGAATGGTTGCCAGTTATCAATGAATGCCCAACCATTGCTTGCACAATGTTTTTCCATTTGGCAATTTATAGCAATTGCCTTGGAGAGCCATTCACGACCAACTCCTCTTCTAGGCAAGACACCACATACTATCGGGATCCCTTCCCTATCTCTAACCTTCCCCAGCGCCTCCCTATACCTCTTGAAAAGTTTCTCACTCCTAAGCTTTCCTATGTCTTTACCTCCCACACTAAGACACACTCCTGGATTGGTACCCTTCCCTGACAAAACCCTATCTATCCTCTCGGCTACATGCCCTATCCCAGCCCCAGGAAAACACACCCTAGTCCTACGTTTCCTATCTCTTGCACACAAAGTCCTATCTAAGAACCTCACCTGGCTGTCCCCAACTACCACGACCTGGGCAGGGTCTGAACAACTGCCCTTTTCACTCCTGGCACCACATCGTCCTGCCTCTTCTCTTCCTCGCCAGCTTCCTCCAGCACTTGGTAGGGGTTAATGCACTCCACACCCTGGTCAGCTTTCCTGAGTCTGACCCTAGTTCCCTTGGAAGCAACCACTCTCCACGCCTGTTCCTCATTCGCAGGTGTCCTGCTAGGCAGGACACCTACCTGAAGGAGTTCAGTCCTGAGGGCTTCGTTCTCCCTCTTTAACACGTCCATCAACGATCCCAACTACCACGGCGGCCATATGTTTCAATAAATATCAAGAAGAAAACAAAACCGTACTAACGTGAAGTCCTAAACTGCTGGTTACTTACCCCAGATATATATGATTTTGCCCCTACTGTAGTTACAGTGATGTACATCAAATACTCATAAAAGAGAGGAGAGATGATACTGAGGAAAAACAGCAACAGTGTCAGCAGCGCCAATGCCATCAACAAGATCCGTAATTTTGAAGAGTTCATTGGAACCCTCACTTTCTTCATAGTCCAGGTAAGCATCTGAAAAACGAGAAGTAAATGACACATACATGAACGCTCAAGACACTTAATTAGTCACCAAATTAATTCAAATTTAATAAATAACTCACTCAGCAGTTTACCACTGACCTCACTGCATGAAAGATTGTATCAACTTAGCTCCTGGGACATCCAAATGATGTAGCTATTTTAGTGCAAGCTGGGAACAGCTCTGTACCTCTCTGAGGGCTGAGGTGGTAAAGGCAAAAGAGTAATATGCAAATCTGCGGGAGGAGACTGTGAGGCCGAAGGAGAAGAATGTGAGGCTGAGGAAGGAGAATGTGAGGCTGAGGGAGGAGAATGTGAGGCTGAGGAAGGAGAATGTGAGGCTCAGGGAGGAGAATGTGAGGCTGAGGGAAGAGAATGTGGGGCTGAGGAAGGAGAATGTGAGGCTGAGGGAGGAGAATGTGAGGCTGAGGGAGGAGAATGTGAGGCTGAGGGAAGGAGAATGTGAGGCTGAGGGAGGAGAATGTGAGGCTGAGGAAGAGAATGTGAGGCTGAGGAAGGAGAATGTGAGGGCTGAGGAGGAGAATGTGAGGCTGAGGGAGGAGAATGTGAGGCTGAGGGAAGAGAATGTGAGGTTGAGGAAGGAGAATGTGAGGCTGAGGGAGGAGAATGTGAGGCTGGGGAGGAGAATGTGAGGCTGAGGGAAGAGAATGTGAGGCTGAAGGAAAAGAATGTGAGGCTCAGGGAGGAGAATGTGAGGCTGAAGGAGAAAATGTGGGGCTGAGGAAGGAGAATGTGGCTGAGGCTGAGGAAGGAGAATGTGAGAGAGGAGAATGTGAGGCTGAGGAAGGTGAGGCTGAGGAAGGAGAATGTGAGGCTGAGGGAGGAGAATGTGAGGCTGAGGGAGGAGGAGGGAGGAGAATGTGAGGCTGAGGGAAGAGAATGTGAGGCTGAGGGAGGAGAATGTGAGGCTGAGGGAAGAAGAAGGAGAATGTGAGGAGCTCTGAGGAAGGAGAATGTGAGGCTCAGGGAGGCTGAGGAAGGAGAATGTGAGGCTGAGGAGAATGTGAGGCTGAGGAAGGAGAATGTGAGGCTGAGGGAGGAAAATGTGAGGCTGAAGGAGAAGGATGTGAGGCTGAAAGGGAAGAATGTTTGGTTGAAAGGGAAGAATGTGAGGCTGAAGGAGGAGAATGTGAGGCTGAAGGAGATGGATGTGAGGCTGAAAGGGAAGAATGTTTGGTTGAAAGGAAAGAATATGAGGCTGGAGGAGAAGAATGTGAGACTGGAAGAGAAGAATGTACGGTTGAGAGGGAAGAATGTGAGGCTGAAGAAGAGGAATGTGAGGTTGGGGAGGAGAATGTAAAGCTATAGGAGAATATTTTGAGGCTAAGGGAGGAGAATGTAAGGCCGGAGGAGGAAAATGTGAGGCTGAGAATATTGATATTGAAACAGTTTATTTAGCCAGAAAATCACAGATATTAGAGTGGATAATAATAACAATATTAACTTGGCTGAGCCAGTTGAGAGCCTGAGCTCTCTTGAAGGCACCTGATATATACTGTACAATTATCTCAGGGAAGTATTCTGTAATATTTAGTATCATCTGGAATAGTACATATAGCATGGTGGTAGTAAGAACATATCAGAATGTTACCACGGTTATCACTTCGTTATTTATTTATTTATTTTATTTATTTTTTTTACATTTATATTATAAGGGAGGAGAAAGTGAGACTGAGGGAGAGAAGAATGTGAGGCTGAAGGAGGAGAACGTGTGGCTAGGGGTGTCTGGGATAGACAATGCCTCCAAGCAGTGGAAAATCATTAAGAGAGTGTTGGCAAGGCTAGTGATGAAGAGGACTAAGTCTTCTGTAGGATGAATTAGACAAGAAAGATAAGGTGGACACTGAGGCAAGAAGGCCTTAATAGTTGGAGTTTCGCAGGTAATGTACATGGATCGTGTCTTATGTAATACGGATAGGTTAGGTTAGGACATTATTATATCTGGTAATGAGAACAAACCCATTATCTGCTTTCGTGCAGGGGGCAACGATATTGGACGGTGTAGGAGCGAAGAGCTCCGTGGAAGTTCAAGCCAACAATATGTGGTGTCCTATCGAGAAGGGGGAGCTGGCGATGAATGGGCAGTTGATGTCAATGGTCTGCTGACAGATATTGCAAAGTAATATCACTTCCGTTCATCGACAACTAGGTCAGGTTCGATGGCAGAAGCAACCTATATGCAGAGGTGTGGGGTGACAGCCCTGGCTAGATATCTCGAGAGGACAGTTGGCAAGATGACGAGGTCTTCAAGCTGCTAGGGGAACACGGGAGCTCAAGGGTCGGGGACACTACAGTAAGCACAGAGACAATTGTAGATATATGAGACGAATATGCTGTAATATGTAGCTGTACTATTTACCATTATTGATTCAGGTCTCTGTATTATATGTTATAATCACACTCCCTTTTGTCACTTGAATGTTAGTTCAGACTTTAGGCACATGCGCGCTGTACGCGCATGCGCAGATAGAGATACCCAGAGAGATTCCAAGACAGGATGCTGTTTCCCCTGTCTTAATTCCTTTTGTGTGTTTGTCCCAGAAATAGAACTTACGAGCTTGACATCAGTGTGTTTCCTTCACCCCTGATTGGAAGTATCACCTGAGTCTCTCCCACTTGGCGCAGTGTTTAGCTGGGACATCACATTATTTAGAATTGGAGTGGACACAGAATCTCTCTCGGAGCCGCCATCTTGTCAACTCCTCTTGTCGGGTGGATCTTGGCGAATACCTCAACACAATATTCCTGGATTTACAGTGCAGTGTTGTGCAGTGCTTTTTCAGTGTTGTGTGTGCCCTTTAGTGTCTTTAAAGTGTTTTCCCGTGTTCCTGCACTTTTTACAAAAGAGGGAAGCCTATTTAAGACCTATGGGAGAGCTCAAGTTTTGACATCCTTCCCCATTCATGTTTCAAATGGCACTGGGGAGTGAGCCAGCCATCTCGCGCTAGCCACCTGCCTCGAGTACACGCACGAACGAACGCACACACACACACACTCACAGACGCTCGCAGATATCTTCCATTTAAAGACGATTGCTTTTCTGCTTACTTAATAATTACAGTAATTGTGAGAGAAATAAACCAGGCCATATGGGAGATCAGGAATTTATTGGGTTTTCTTCAGATACCCAACAAGCCCAACTTCAGACGGATGTCGGTGCAGTAAGTGGACTCCAAGTGGAGCGGAAAGTGGATCAAGCGGCCCCACCCACCCTTAGCCCCCACTACACACGTCCGCAATCTGCCACAGGTGTCGACTTCCTTCATTTAATTCAGTTTTTGGAAGAAAACCGACGACAAGACGACATCAGGAGGCGACAGGAAGACGATGAACGAAGACGTGAAGAGGATCACAGACGTCAACAAGAAAATGCCAGGTTCAGTGCCATTATCGAGTTGTTGGCACCTGTTACCCTTCAAGCAGCTACTACACCTGCCTCTTCGTCCACAGGTGCACCTGCAGGGTCCTCTTCAACTTCTTTGCCCCCCCCCACAGAAAGCACTCGCTCAGAGTCCACCGCCACTCCAAGCTGATGCCTCGTTCCAGGTATTCCTTGAATGGCGTCGGAGGTGGGACGATTATTCGATGATGGTCGATTTATCAAGGTTGCCTAGGGAGAAACAGCTGATCCAGATGAGGATGTGTCTCACCCTAGAGACGCAACGTATCCTGGAGCACACCCTGCAAATTCCCCACGACACAGACAAGACTGTGAAGGACGTCTTGGATGCTTTACAGACGCATATCAAGGGTCTCCGGAGGGTTCTCAGTTGTAAGCAGCTGGAGGGTGAGTCGTTTGCCGATTTTTACGTACGACTCAGACGCATCGCTGAGGAGGTTGACGTTTGTCCTGGGAACTCGTCGACTTGTGAGGAAACACAGCTGAAGATGATTATCCTCATGGGCGTGCGGGACGAAGAGCTTATTCAGAAGCTTATCTCCCTCGACACTGCCTCTTCTCTACAGGATGTTGTCACCACCTGCCGCTCTTACGAAGCCACCAGAAGTGCGACTTCTGCCATTCGTGCTCCATCTAACCAGCTGTGTGCCATCTCCGCATATAAGAAGAACAAAGGACGTGACCGGACTTCAGCTTCACATCCGACTTCAGCTTCACATCCGACTTCAGCTTCACATCCGACTTCAGCTTCGCATCACTCTTCAGCATCACTTCAGACTTCGACGCCAGGTCATTCCTGCCAGTATTGTGCTCGTCGGCATGGTTCTGAATGCCCTGCCGCTGACAGCACCTGCAATAACTGTGGCCGTCGTGGTCATTGGGCTAGGACACTGAAGTGCCCTGCCAACAACGTTCAGTGCCGCTCCTGTAGCCGCATTGGACACTATGACAAATGCTGTCAGTCACAGAAGAAGAATAATACTACTTGCAAGTCTCAGGAGGCGAAGAACAAGCGCTGTCGTCGCGTGGGATCCTCTTCTTCCCCTGTCAGCAAGACACCTCAGCCCATCTGTGTTCACCTGTCATACAGCAACATTACTTCCCGTATCCAGATGCTTCCTGACACAGGTGCGGACGTCACAGTCATCGGCACAAGACACCTCGACATTCTGCGAATTCCTAGGAGCAGCTTGCAACCACCGTCAACTTCTACAACGCTCACCGCAGACGGTTCTACAATGGCACCTGCTCTGGGTACATTTCAGGCTACCCTCACCCTAGGTAAGCAGTCATGTTCTGCCAGGATTCAGGTCCAAAAAGGTGTTCAGATGCCACTACTGTCTTATGGCCACTGTCAAGAGTTGGCCATAATATCTCCAGACTTCCCTAAGCCAATTCTGGAAATAGAACATGTCAACAGGTGCAAGGAGTTGCCCCTCCCACCCAATACGTCACCTGCAGCCAGGGAGTTCTTCCTACTGCAATTCAAGGATGTGCTGGTTTCCAAGGAGGACCTCAAGACGGCTCCACTCAAGCCAATGGCTGGCTCCCCCATGAGAATACACCTGAAGGA